CTATATGAAAATCTTTCAGATAGAAATTATTTATTAGTAGACAATCATGCTGGTAGACTAGCTACAATATTACAATAAATAGTGTAAAATAGTTATTCTCCAAATGTTTGCAAAATGATTATTGTTATTGTGTGATATGTTTGATATTTTTTTTTGAACTTTTTTTTTACTGTTCACATTATATAATTCTATCTATAGAATATTCATTCTAAATTGTTTCGTATGTTTGTAATTATAAATGCGAAAAACAAAAACAATTAAAAGTGTATATCAGTCTATTTTAGTTAATTAATTCTTTAATTAGTTATTTAATTTTTTTTTGTTTTTGTCTTTAGGTGATAAATTAGGTCGTGTTGTACACATTGTAATACAGTCTCGAGAGCCTTCACTGAGAGATTCAGACCCAGATGAAATCGAAATTGATTTTGAGACACTGAAGCCATCAACGCTTAGAGAACTGGAAAGCTATGTTGCGTCATGCCTCAAAAAGAAGCCACGTAAGCTTTACTATGAGCTTAATTTTATTTTGAGTTTATAAAATTTAACTGCCATTTTCCCAATAGCAATATATTGTCATGCATGTATGATTAAATTACGCATAATGTGTGTATTTCAATTATAATATTATTAAGTTATATTAAAATTCTAATATTTCTAAAAAGATAACATCTTATATACAAATTATTATACAATTTATACACATGTACGCGCGTATACACGCACATACTTATGACAATAAATTTCTTATATATTTATATATTATTTTATCATGTGTTAACAGACAAAAAAGTCAGTGGTAAGTCCAAGGATGAACAAATGGCAGAAAAGAAACAAGAATTGGAAAAGAGATTACAAGATGTAACGACGCAGTTGTTGGCAATGTCAAGACTACTGCCAAGAAAGGTTAGCATCTGATTAATTTTTTTTATAGAGTTTTGTATTTTCTAAATGTATCAAGGGATATACTCGTGTATATGAAATTAGAGTATAACAAAATTGTATGCACTTTTTACAGAAGACAGTAGTAAGTCGGTTGATGTAGCTGGAACTGGTGATGCCAGTGGACCTTCGCGATTGTCAGCATCAAGAAGTAGTAGCAGCGATAGTGACTCCAGCAGTAGTTCGTTTTCTTCAACGAGCACTGATTCAAGCGACATTGAAGCAGGTTAGATATAAATGCAACTGTTGTTACTATTAGACTCTTACTTGGGAACAAAGAACTACTTGTAATTAAGTGGTTGTCACAAAAATATGAATGATTTCTTCGGTGAGATTCAAAATTATGGGGTTATGTATGACTATATCCTTTACTAGAACCAATCGACAAAAAACTTGTCAGAAAGGGTATAAAATGCTTCTAAGATATAAAAAGAAATAATACAATAATAGTTTTGGTTTGTTATGTATTTCTTCATTTCTTCAAAGAGAAGTTAGCTTTTAATTCTTTCTCTTCTCTCTCTTTTAGCATCACAATATTTTTCTGTATCAAATTTTGTTCATGCATAACAGTAAAATATTTTTCTGCTTTCTATGAAATTAAAATTATTATATATTAGATAAGTAAGTAATAAGGTATAATTTATACACATTATTACAAACCGCGTGAAATATGCAGAAAGTCATTTTTGTAAACTATATATCATTCATTATATCATGCATTATCTTTATTTTATCTTCGTTGTATTAAAATGTTATAATTTATCCATTTGATGTCATATAACTTTTAAATTGCGCAATAAAATTATAAAACATTTTCTGTTGCTTGTTCTCCAAATATTACTCATACTGTACGTTTACGCGAGTGTTACTTCTGTAGTAACTTACGATAATTCACTCGTTTACGCGGAGTAAATTTTATCGTAAGTTACTACAAAATCCCGTTAACGCGAAGGAATTATCGTAAGTTACTACAGAAGTAACGCTCGCGTAAACGTAATAGTATCGGTTGTATAGTCGCAGCAACTCTTATCTCGTGTTTTATCTATTCTGCAAAATTGCCAAAAATACCCTCTCGAGAACTCTCGACGCGTGATAAGCCGGAGTCGAGAATGACAGAGAGGGGAGGAACGGCATGCTCGCGCCCCGAGTGTCGCGCATGACGTCATCAACAGGTGCACGCTCGCTGATTGGCGGCGATGCACGTGCTATCCGTTCTTTCCGTCGGGATCGGCGGGCGCGCGTTGCGCGTCCAATCGCGCGGCTCGATTCGGATTTCGCGCGCTCGCGGACGTGACGATGACGACACGAGAATGCGCGATAGATTACGGGAGCTTTCCAGCGAGCGACACAAGTATCGTTTTATCTTTGTTACTCATTGCCAAAAAAGAAAGATAGAATGATTTTACACGAGCCGTGTCGCGCTACAGTGCATGCCACGCGGCGTACTTGTGCGCTCCGGGGGGAAAACGTCAGCACTGTAAATAGAAGTGCTGATCTGCGCTGGAAACGCTCCGTCAAACGGGAAACGGAAAGGCGCCGGCCGTCTTCGCGTTGTAACTGTGTCATCACGGGTGCGGGGCGTTCGTCCTCTTCATCGAAATCGAAACTAGATTGTCGGAGCGATCGCGAGAATGGCCAGCTCTCCGGTGCTTAATCCGGTAAGTTACGCTTTAATGGCATTTTCATTGATCTCCGCAAAGTGTCCGCATTGCCGATGCTTTTGCGTCTTAGGAGGCCACGGATGGTCGGATACCGTTACTTGATCGATCGTTAAATCCTTAGCGTGACTCCAATCGTAGTAATTATGAGTTATATTGATAATATATGTCATTTTAAGTTGTCAAAATATATATATTATTTGGAATGACTATTAAATGTGGTTTTCTAATTTAAAAATTGTTATTAAGAAAATTGTGCTCCGATTAATGCTGAGAATTATGCAAATTTTGAGGTTCCGTTTTGTTTTATTTTTAGACAATTATTTATCTGTTTTCTTTATTGCTCGCCATTTTCTTACAATTATATTTTGCAACAGGAAATCCCGTATGTGGGAAGAGTAGAAGGAGGTCTGAGAGCGGGTACAATGGTGAAGATACAAGGCAAGGTGCCGCCTCAGGCTGTGCGATTTGCCATCAATTATCAGCTCGGACCGACGTTAAATCCAAGAGATGACATAGCTATTCATTTATCCCCACGCTTCCCCGAAGGCTTTATTACCAGAAACCATATAGAGTCGATGAACTGGGGCATGGAGGAAAACGCCGGCCCATTGGTGATTCAGCCAGGCCAGGAATTCGAGATATTGATTCTGTGCGACTATCACTGCTACAAGATCGCTATCAACGGCAGGCACTTTACGGAATTCGCTCATCGGTTGCCGTTCATAAAAGTTACTCATCTGGTTATCGATGGCGATGTCGAGATACACTCCATCGCATATGAACAAGTATCGGTCGACCCATCGAAACCCCCTGCTACAACACTAGATGATGTACAAACTGCCAACTTTGGACCACCACGTAAGGAATAATATTTCTATTCTAACTACAGTTAATATATATTAATATTATATGAAGTATTGAGAACATTTTTTAAAACTAGCACCAGGTGGTTTATATCCAACAATCCCACCTCAGGGTGGATATGGACCTCCTCCACCCGGTCACGGCCCTCCCAATACCTATGGCGGCCCTGGTGGTTATAATCCACCAAGAGCCTATGGATATCAGCCTGATCGTGAGAAAGCAGAGGAAGAGGGCATCTTTGGAGATTGTCTGGACAAAGTTGGATTAGCACTGGGTGGATTAGTGGCAGCTGGAGGCGTAGCGGCAGCTATGCACGCGATAAATGTGAAGATATATTCAAAGTCATCGTTACATTTACAATATTATGTATTACTTAAATGCACACATGTCACTATTTATAGAAAAAGAAGGAAGAGAGCGACGAAAAGGATCATGAAAAGTCAGATGCTTCCAAGTCGAAAACGGAAAGCGAGGGTGGTTTTGGAAGTTTAGCTGGGTCTCTTGGGATGGCCTTAGCTAGCAGCCTGGCGAGTAACGCCATACACAGCAACACACACGCACAACAAGGCTACCCCGACCAGCAGCGATCGGGCGGCAGCGATGTATTGGGTTCTATTTTTGGAGCATTGGGTATGGTACATATTTATAACTTGAATTTCAAAAATGTTATATATGTAATATGATCGGGGATGTATATCTTGAGATTTCTTTGCGAGTTACACGTGAATTTAAATATCTGTGACTTGCGAAATGCTTGCTTTTAAACGAATAGTATTCTTCGGTAATTCTTATAAATTGCTATGTGTCGTGATTCAGAAGTCTTATAAATCACAAAATCTGTAATCAAGCGCTGGCGTGACTGGCCGAGTGACATCATCGCATTGGAATTGCCAAGGATGGGAATATTTCTCAGATGAGATAAATAGATGATTATCTGTATCTCAGATACATTCTCGATACTGTATTCACAAGATACAAGCAATTTAACACAATTTACATCTATTTTATGTTGTTTTTTTTATTGATGATACTAGGCGGTGGAGGATCCCAACAGCCTGCCTATCATCCAAATCAGCCTCCCGCCGGTGATGGTCTGAGCGGAACGTTAGGATCTTTACTCGGCGGTGTTTTCGGCGGTGGTGGAGGTCATCAACAACCAGCATATCAACCTTCAGGAGGATACGGTGGATATCAACCATCGAGTGGTTATCCGACATCCGGTGGTCAAAATTCTGGCGGGTCAGATCTGCTGTCGGGAATAGGATCTGCCTTGTTCAGTTCAGCTCTAGACGGTCTGAGCAAACGTGGAAAAGATGTAAATAATTTATTTTGATACATTTTCGATTTCAGCGATGTATATAATTAAGAAATGTGAAAGAAAATTTGGTGATATTTTTAAACGATACTGAATTATTTCTATGCAGAAATCTCATGACGAATATCGTTCCGGACCGGCGCCTCCGAGTTATGAACCTCCACCACCGCCGGCACCGAAGCCAACTCCGCGTCCGGAAACCCCACCGTCTTCCGGCGGACACAAATTAACTGCAGACGAAATTTCGAAGGGACTCGGACTGGACGATTAAACGCTTCGATGATGCGGAAAACTTCGGTCTGCAAGTACACTTATAGTGACGATCTTATGCTCTCTTTTTGGTTGGAAACGTAATCTACGTATCATCACGAATCTCGTTTATCAAAATATGCTGTATGATATATTCGTTCGTCTTTTAACGCCAGTGGATTTTTAGTCATATTGGCAGCTGCATTAAATACAAATGCGAGAATATTATTCTCATATATGAATCTCATACGTCATGAATTCTTCTCGAACGAATGATATTAAATAGAACTAAGCTCGTTCCAAAATTGCTTTTAAAGATTTTAAAGATTGTGAATTTTAGATAGGAATCAAGATAGAAGTCAAATACACACCGTTCTTTACAAAACTATCCCTTCCGTGAAATAGTCCGATTGATTGATGAACAGCTATATCGATTACGTTTACACGGCCCAATTTACGCCGAAGTTATAACATCGATGTTATAATAACTACTGACGTTAAATGCCGTGTAAACGCTCTTTTACGACGAAAGTTACTACATCGATGTAATAACTTCGTAATAAAAGAGCGTTTACACGGCATTTAACGTCAGTAGTTATAACATCGATGTTATAACTTCGGCGTAAATCGAGCCGTGTAAACGTAGTCATAGATATAGCTAAGAAGTTAATATTTTAAGATTATATTTTTATAAAAATTTTATTATTTTATAAGAGTGGCCTTAGCAAGATAAAGATACATTTATATAGATTTATAATATATGCCTTTTATGTATACATTTGAATTACAAATAATGCACAATTATTATATACAACATATATATATATTTATTATTTATATTAAAAAATAAATATACACATCGCACATATAAAGCACAATAGAATATATTAAGTTACATTCTCATTCCTGTTTTTGTATATTCAAATCAAGAGCTTCCATCCAACATAATATTATCTCATTTTTCGGGTAGCCAGATGTGCGTCGGAATTATTACAGTCAACACGGCTTTCTGTCTTTCGACAGGACTGACCCTGAAATGCACGTTGTAGAAGTGTTGAAACCTAATACCGTTCAGCGTTCTCTCCTTGTTCGCGTGTAAGTACGAATACAGACTCTCCTGTGCTTTTCTGATGAATAAATATATAGTAATTAATATAGAATATTGTATAGTCTGATAAATTATATTCACACCGAAATGTACCCACCCAGTGATCGTCAAGTCACTATTCACATCGAAATACATAGTGATGACATGTATTGTCATCTAACTTCGTTGCTCTGAGTGCTGATATGTGCCTGTAATTTTATTTCTTTAACATCGTTCCTCACCGTGTTCATGTCCAGTTGCAGCGTTAGCATTTTCTGAAAGACAACAAAGTGATTCATCCTTTGTTCATCATTAGAGTCTACCCACGCATGTGGAAGATTGTCGTATATTCGTTTTAAGAGGGTCGCCAACGTCGCAGATCACGTCCAATGTCCAACGTACTGTTTATACGAGAATCTTCCATACATTCGGACGGGATACTCGCTAACATTAAGACTTCGATGAAGCGCACTTTGGCCTGGTATGCCGATTTGCCGCAATTGTAAATATCGATATCCAGCATAATTATCAGCGTAGAACCGATAACATACCTATTATTAGAACTCAAATCAGTGGACAACGTCGAGATCCGACGCACGTAATATATCATCTTCAAAGTGAAGATGATAATAAGATGAAGTCAATTATGAATAGCACTTATATAACATTCTTGTTTTCGAATGGATTTTGTTTATAACGCAAAATGTGCAAATGGTTTTTGTTTTTCGCATTATTTAACTACAGAGATACCAATATTTTGAGTGAGCTTATCATGTTTTGACTATTCTTCTGAAATACGTAAAAGTATAAATGTGATACAGTAAAAAAGATCACGAGCAGATATAAAAATACCTTGAGGTATTTATGAAATATACCTTGAGGTATATTTCAGATGCAATTTTCATCAGAGACATCTTAGACAACGTATGAGATCACCTGTATGATCCATCGTTACTTTCTGTACATTGGAAAAAGTTCCTGGTTCCGTCACAAATTGCAGTTCGCTGGAGTTCCAACGAGTAATAAAGGCTCATCCACATCCAAAGTTACCAAAAATCCAAATTTCCTCGTTTATCCGATACAGACACAGGATCATGAAATACTTTGGCGCTAAGCGAATCAATGTTATACGCCGACGGATTGTATCGCACGATTACTAGAACGAAAATTAAAGTCCGCGCCGTTAAACTCGCATATACGCATTTTAACATTTTCGCCAATGCTTTCGAAGGTTTCACATGGTCAAATTTAATGTATACTGTCTGTACGAAATTTAAAGTCTTTTAACCGGAAATATTTTGCGGTAACGTGAATACTGCAATGATGTCACGTTAGTTAAGATTAGAGTTCATCAATCTACAACTTCGAAAATGACATGTCGTTTACTCACTACTTTAAATCTTGTTGAAATATGCTATGCTTTCGGTCGTCTCTCGATACATCTGTTAACAAATTTTTGAAATTGGATTTGCAAAATCAGATACAAATGCGAACAAGTATCTCTCAATATCGTACGTGAGTCTCATATGATACGAGTTAATTTCGCATTAAGTAAAATTAAACTCGTTCTAAGACTGCTTTTTTAAGATTTTAAAGATTCCACATCTTAAACAGCAATGGAGAGAAATCAAAGACACATCACTTGGCACTAAATCTTTCGTGATCCAATTAACAGTTATAACAACAAAGTAAATATTTTTGGTGGTTATATTTGTATGAAAACGTTTTATTATTTTATAAAACTGGCCTTAAGGAGATATACATAGTAAATGAAAAAAATATGCATCATAAATAAAAAATACATTAAAAATTAATTAAATCTTACTCTAAAAATTTTATTTGTGTGTATATTCAGTCGTGCTCAAGAGCTTCTGTCGAAGATGTTGTTTCCAGTACCACATTATACTTTTTCTGAAACGCAAATTACTGTTTAATAAAGTAACTAAATAATAATCATAAAGAATTAGAATTTTCATTTACGAAGTTTGGCGAGAATGTTAAACATACGTCAGTCTCGGCTATCAACGCCTCGAGTTCCAACTTCTTCTTTCTGTTGAAAAATCCGATCTTTATTAAACCTAATATTAATAATATCAGCAATGCGACACCTAGGATAATTGACAGTGCTATTATCCATATTGCTACTTGTTGAGCTACTGGCGACCCTAGAAACGTTGTTGCAACCAGCGTGACATCCGGTTTATGACCTTTCCTTTGAGAAACATTGTCAGGTTGCGTTATGGTAACGCTACCTTCAGTCACGTAAAATATGATGTCTTTTTGCTTCAGCATATCAGCTGTAATCAGAGAACATTCAAGATGTATTTTTTTCTTACGTAGGTCCTATATTGTTCGGCAATATTATATTTACCGGAAAACCTCGACAATTGCAGATCCAACGTCACCAAAAATTTCGCGACAGACAGAGAACTTAAGAATGGACCCAGTCTACAAGTGATTTGTACACATTCGATCTCGTTACTTGTGCAATTAATAAAGAGCGTTCTGTTTTCAGACGGCACGTTCATCGGCGTGTCTTCCTCTATGCTAAATTTCGCGTGCGTGTTCTTGCTCGCGATGTTCGACGAGTTCATCACGATTACATCATCCGTCGATACGATCTTGTTAAGCGCGGCAGGTACTTCAGTTTGATTCGAGTAGCTGCAATAAAATTGATGTCCGTCCATTATGCCTATGGTATCGTTGATATTGACGACCGCTATATCCTCGGCACCGTGTCGGCGGAAGTGCATTGGAATTTTCACGGTCAATATTGCCTCCTCGATAGGACTGGCGCCGAATTTCTGCACCTCGTAGAAGTGTTGAAATCTAATATCGTTTAATGATTCCTTCTCGTTCTCACGTAGGTACGAGTACAAGTTCTCCTTTGCTTTCCTAATGGAAACAGTGATGAAAATAGCATCGCAACATCTTTAAAATTAATATTCTCATCTGAGTATGTACCAACCCGGCGATCGCTATGTCGATGTCCACGTCAAAGTATATAGTGATAGTGGAATTATTGTCATTCCAATTTGTCTCGTCGCTTTGAGTAGTGATATTCGCTTGTATTTCCACCTCTTTAACATCATATCTCACCATGCTCATGTCCAGTTGCAACATTAATGTTTCCTGAAAAATAACGAGGTGATTCATCTTTTATTCATCAGTAAAGTACTCCCACATGACTTGTGGAGATCGTCGTACATTTGTTCTAAGAGGATTGCCGATGTCACAGATCACATCCAGCGCGCTGCTCGTGCGAAGATCCTCCGTACAGTCGGGCGGGATACTCTTTAACGTTAAGCCCTCGGTGAAGATACGCACTCTGGTCTGGTACGCCGGTTCGCCACGATTGTAAGTATCGACACGCAGAATGATTATCGGCGTAGAGCCGATGATGTACCTGTTGCCCGGAGTTAAGTCAGTGGACAACGTCACGCTGAGATCAGACACGCATACATCGTCCTCGCCACAGTCCACGGCGAACGGCAGCTTTAGGAGATCCTCAGTCTTCGAGCGGAGCTTGTTTATCACGACGCAAGATGCGCACGAGCTTTCGTTTCTCGCGCGAAGATCATCTTCCAGCTGCATCGACACCGATATCTCAAGCGGGTCTATTACATTTTTAATTTTCTCCTAAAACGCACAAAAATGAGAATTAATAACATGCTAAAAAATCATCAATATTAGAAGACATAAAAATGTATGCACCGTTAAATGTATCTCAAGCAGATTACTTGTAATCATAGCTTTAAACAGCTTGTAACGCAATCTGTAAGTCTGTAGTCCGTCGTTACTTTTTTGCGTCCGATACCTGGCCCTGCCGTGCAACGGGTCGATCTTCAGGACTATGGCGACTTCTGATATGACAGACAAGACAAATTTAGCACTGATACGGAGAAGCGTACGATAATTAAAAAAAAATCACAATAACTTATAAATCAATAAATGTAAGATAAAAAGTTATATATACGTCGGCCGCTTACGCAGATACTCCGGTACGTATATGCCATCGTAAGACATCCAGACGTCGACCTCGAAGGACGTTGTGTTTCTCAACAATTTGATCTTTTGCGGGTACATCAATGTTACGTTCACTGTGACAACTGGCACGGATCTCAGCAGGACCACCTCGCCGGACAGATAGGCACCCACAGCGACGTCGGAATGATTGTCGCGGTTCACGTCTCGGGGTTCCGAGATGGAGATACCGAACCCCCGCATCGTCGGCGAAAATCGCGAGCCGATCAGTCTCTGACTATATTTCCGGGAAACGCCGTCTCTATTCCCGTTGAATATGTACACCGCACCGCCACTCTCTTCCTCGTAGGGTGCACCCACGGCGATGTCGCCGTATCCATCGTAATCGATGTCACCTAGACACATCACGGTAGACCCGAATCTACCTCCGACGATCTCGCCTTCGATCGTCTGCAGTTCTTCAAAATCGCTCTGTTTTTTGTACAGAATATAACTTTTAGAAGGCTGAATGTTCTTTCAGTTTTCAATTCTAAGGATTTAAAGTTAATATCCACTGATAGAAATGGTCATAATTGTAACGTTAAAAGTTTAAATCTATGCTGATGAAAAGTCGAATATAAACTTGGACAAAATTATTCTCGTTAGATCCATAGATCCATACATAAATAACATACGTTGTGTCGCGCTGTAAAGATGTAGATAAGACCTTCGTCCATGTCCCTGGACCATTGCGGTGCACCGACGATTAACTCCTGTCTACCGTCATTGTTAACGTCGCATGACGTTAGTGCGGCACCGAAGTATTCACCGTATTGTTTACCGTACACTAATGTTTTAATAAACATACGCTGATTGGTTTTAGGAGGAAAGGTAAATACGAGGACTTTTCCGTACAAGTTGGCGTGTGGCACACTGGAAGCATACCAAACGTCTTGCTCATTGAAGTAAGTACCCGACGTGATAGCGTATCCTGAAAATTACCGTGGATATACATATATACATTGATCTGAGATAGATACAGGAAACGTACCAATGGTCGGACATTTAAGATATGAGGCTTTCCAAGGTGTCAGGGAGAGATAAAAGATTCGACTTTCCGAATGCCTTCATAATCTATCATTTTCATAGTAAACTAAATATTTTTGTTACATAGGAATAGTGATTCGTAAGTTTTGTCTATCTCGCTTTAAAACCTTAATAATAAAACGATTTATAGCGACAAAAAAAGAATATTTCTACTTTAAGGTCCGTGACTTGCGTATGTTCGTCCATTGCTACGTTTACCTTGATAGAAAAGTGGCAGTAGGAAATATTTCTTTACCGAAATAATTGTAACTATGAACCCGTTGCTCTCTAGCGAGCGAGGGAATTACCGTGCGCGAAAATGAATCGTTCATCGACGTTAATATCGCGTCGCCTTTCCAATTGTATACACCTGGACTGCCCATTACAATATTTACTTCATGTCGCGAGTTCATGTGCAGAGAGAAGCCGGTTTGTCCCATCGCGTAATTATAAATGTTTATTTTGTTCTTGGATGTGATGTCATCTGCAGGGTTCGAAAGTGGTAACAAACGCTCCTCCGCTTCTCTCTTAAATGCACCAGCATTTCTAGCCAGTGTCGTGTAGCAAATACCGTTCATGTTCCAATTCAGCCAGTTGTCCTTTATAATATTATTTATCCATCGCGGTCCGCAAACCTGTTATCAATAGAGCCGCTTATTGAACAATGAAGAAGTACTTATGTGTCTCTTTAGCAAGTATATAGTTTTCGACCTATAGCATTCTTCTTCATTCAGATTTCTTACAGACTGCATAATTGAAATTCGATTTCTTTTACAAGAAAATAAGTAAAGAGCGACTATTATATTGTTTTTATAGTTTCAAGTCTTCAGAAAGTAAAAACTAAGAGTTTTGTAATTTTTAATATCAGATACAATATTCTAAGCCGATAGAACATTTGTAATAGAAAGTATTCTCTTATCTTTATTTTCATCTAAATTCTACAAATTTAATCAGAGAAAAAGAGAGAGAAATACAGGTTTTTTTTAATATTCTATCTAAATATGTTCCAAATGATTAAGCCTCATGTCAAATATTTACGAAAAAATCAACGTTAACTTCTAACTTGAATCTAAAGTAGAAATTTCAAGTATCCAACATTAATGACTGATGATGCAATAAATAAACAATAACGCACTACAACTCTGGCCTCCGTTTTGTTCTGCACGGCAATGGTAGCACCGATCCAAGCATTATCCTTTATCTGATTAACGAATTTTTCAGGAGGATGCGAGGACACGCGACCGTTTCCAGTTTTATCCACCACCCACTCTTTGCATACACCATTCATCGCGCACTTGAAGACCGTTCCCGGCTCCATCACGTTCGGCAGTGCGCTGGAATTCGCTCGTGGGGCTCCGACGAGTAATAAAGTTTCGTTCGCACCCACGTACAGAGCTACCGAGAATCCAAAGTAACTTTCACGTGCACCCGACTCGTGCATAGGATCCCTAAATATCTCGGCGTCGAGTGAATTAATATTGTACGCCAACGGATTGTGTTGCAGGATTGCCAGAACGAAAATTAGAATCTGTACGCGAAAATGCGTTAAACTCGCACGTGTCCGAAGCATCTTGGACAATGTCTTCGAAGGTTTCACGTGTTCGAGTCGCCGTATCTGTAAGAAAACTGAGGAAACGAAGTTATTCTACCGGCGGATGTGGTGCTTACACACCACAATGACACATCACTTACATTAGTCAACGTTTATCTATATGCAACTCTGAGAAGTGGAAACGGAAGGAACCTGTTTTACAATTGTAGACGAGACATAATTGCAGAATAATAAATCTCTCACGCAAGGTTTGCTACGTTTTTTTTTTCTTCTCGTTTATTCGTAATCAGTTAATAAAGATTGTATATAAATGCAAGATTAAATAATGTAATATAGTTACAATAATTCTTCAAAGTTCAACACATAAGAAAAAAATGTATACCAATTTATTACTTTTAATTACTTTCCACCGCACAAACCATGTCAACAATACACATTAGCCGAGTTGCCGCAAATACTTCAAGTTAATGCGGATGTGTTAATTCGTGTCTACAGTAGTTTCTGTTTCGCCGCAGTTCTGTCTCGATTATATGCGATTTACATGGCCAGATCCGCAAAAAACGTTCATCTCACAATAATGATCAGACTGGCTGAGAATTACCAAGCACTGACAGTCACAATGGCATTACGCGGGACGATAGATGCGTAGGGTTGGTATCAAACATTGTAATTTTCGTTTGTCTAATCAGTGATTTGATTTATGAAATATCGCGAAAGAAATCGGCAATATATCAGTAGGAGTTAAAGAAAATTTTTGTTGAAAAACTGCAAGAAGGAAAGCACGATACATTTACGAGATAGGATTAAAGACGGACGAGCAAGGTCTAAAACATGATTTAAAAAAAGAAATCGACCGCATGTTCGCGCGTGATCAACTTAGTGTTATAAAAATATACTTCAAGGAATCACAGATTACATTATGTACAAATGGAAAGGATATGGGAGATCGGAGTAGGGCGCATCGGGGAGGGCGGGGATTTCGATGAGTAAAACATGAGCGCTTAATCGGAAGAATCACTCGTGGTCGAAACTGTTTGAGCCTGGGACGCGGATCGATTACGATAGCTCCTCCTCGCCAGCTCCTCCACTTTTTTCCGGAAACACTCTAAACGTTTCAGTTTCTGCTCGTCGGAGCTATCGTCCGCGTCTCTGTCGCTTCGCTCCTTACGCGTCTGTTCGCTGTTTTTCCCGCCCGTAGATGAGATCCCCGATTTGATACCGCTGTCAGGGGTGCAAGGAACTTGAAGCGATTTGCCGCTCGGCGTCGACGGTCCGTCCTCGCGATGGTCCTTACTAGAGTTACCGTTCATATAATTCCTCGGGCCAGCGGTTCTTTCCTCCTCCTCCGAGTCATCATCGAGCTTCTGTCGTTTACTTTGGTTCTTACCGGAACCGTCGTGTCGAGAACTATTTTTGCACTTTCGATGCTTCCGTTTGTGCGCCTTCGCGGACGTGTCCGAATCAGTTTTAGAATGTTTTCGTTTACTGATAGCGACAATGTCCTCGTAAACGCAACTACTGCTGCTGCTGTAACTCGAGCTCTTGTCGTCTTTCTCGATCGCGCTGGTGACGTATCGCGATCGTCGGAAAATCACCCCGGAACTAGTACTGGGTTGAGCCGCGTCAACCGGTCGCTCGTCGTCACTGTCCGAATCACTATTGACTTTTAACACAGTACACTTCCGTCTAGCGGATAATCTTCTCCTGCCGGAGAGTCTGGTGTGTTTCCTCTTGACGCTCTTCGATTTCGACTTCGATTTGGATCTACGTCTCGAGTGAGCATTGTCCCCCTCACTACCGGAATCCGAAGCGGATCGCTCCATCGCGGCCATTCGCATGAGTTTCTCTCTGCGATTCGCGATAAGCCGAGTTATACGATTCGGCGACTCTAACGGCCTTTCAGGAGCAACACCACCTTCCGATGCCGTAGTATCTACGATGAACAATAACGATATATTACATTATCCTATTGTATCTGTAAAAGATAATCGAAATTGTGCAAAAATTAATCTTTTAAAATAATACAAAATAAAAACGTTTACACATCACAACATAAAAATACGATATACATCTTTACATCACCGAAATGATATTAATAATAATTGGTCAAACAGAAAAAAACAGAATTTATAAAAATTAAGATTTCTTATATTCGATTTTATGACGATAACCATATTTAGCAGCTTAACGCTTCTTATCTCGGTTCACACAAATCATGCTGTTTTTTTTTCTAAATACAGTAAATTCTCTTCTATACCATCGCCTTCTGACGCGCTATACGGCTCGCCCGTTGCCGGGTTTATTTCAGAGTCGCTAGGGGTATGTGGTGTTGGCACATCCTCGGAACTCCATCCTTCAATTTCGCGCTGCACGAGGGAATCGAAAAAGGCCATCATTCGCGGGTCTTCCTTGGTTGACTGGTGGCTGTAATCATGCGTCATAAACTGTCCGCTACGTAGAACTAGCCCTATATATTCGTCGTGCGTGAATACTCGGCGCTGTCTCTCCCGCTTGCCGGCGTCTCTCTGAAAGAATACAAAGGAAACGATGGCAAACAACGGCCAAACCATAACGGACATTCGTAAAGAACTATCATATAAGCAGTTAACCTTCAATCCTCCCAAACATCCAGTTCCTAGCGGAAACGGACTCCAGATCTTGATGATCTTCTCCACGCCGGACGACGCGAAGATGCAGCTCGCTTGATTGTATCGAACTTGGTTGACGATCGATCTGTGACCGCGCAACACCATGTGGGCGGTTTCCACCCATTCTTTGTCTTTCATAAGAGGAATTTTCCACATGTACAAATTAAAGTCATCCGAACCTACAAATTCAATGTGTAAAATGTATGTAGATTGTCGATTGCGATTTCTTTCTATGACTGTACCGAAATATCTATCTAGATATACACACATTTGAAATATTTTTCTTAGGTCCGGTTGCACCAACGTCGCGTAATATTTAACTTGACGCGAAACACTACCGTGTCTCTTGACCTTAGCTTAACTCACTCTTCATCTCTTTCTAATTGCCTCCTTAGAAAGAGATGAAGAGTGAGTTAAGCTAAGGTTAAATATTATGCGACGTTGGTGCAACCAGGCCTTAGGTATACATAGCGAGTAAAAAGTTTATACTAGGTACTTACCAGAGAGAACGTATTCGTCGTTCTCGCCGGCGAAACAGCATGATTTCATGGTACAACTATTGTAATATCCTGGATGATCGAATTCGCATAAGTACTTGGGAGAATCGACTGCGTAAAGAACCGGTGGTAGTCTTCTTCGTAAGGCCAGCAATCGGTTACCCATCGAGTTAAACCTGACATTCATGCAACTTTGTTGCGGGCTTCCATAACACAATACAGGCCTGTGGATGAAACATGACGATTAACTCCAAAATCGCGGATATACGGTACACTGATTAACGCAGACCAGTATAGATGAACGCGTCATTTCTAGACCTCCTACGCGAATCTTTTCGGGGTCTCGAAATCAGAAACCGAACATATTTTGTGCTAGAAATTGCAATCATCACTTAAATGCATTTCTTGCATTATCTCATGCTCTATATCATTTCACATATTATGCGCACCTAGAAATGCGCTCGTCTACACCAGTGAATTAATGAACATCAGTGTATTATATTATCGGGACAATTCTAATATTTCACGCAACGTTTAGACTTGATCGAAAAACCGCAACATTCGTATACTTACTCCAAAGGTTTTCGTATGTCCCACATACTGACACCTTCCTTAGCATTGGCAGTAGCGAGCATTCTGGGGTCCGCGGGATTAAACATGACAGAGTGGAAGGCGCTTTTGTATTGTGCCAGAGTTTCCATAGCGTTGTTGCTACGTATATCATAAATGAGGACTCTCCCGTCGTCGCAGGCACTGGCAAAGACCTCGTCATTGTGCGGATGAATGGACAGCCCGTAGACGGGCTTCTCGTGCAGGAAGATGTTGAGAGACTCGCCCCTACAAGTCATTAAAGTTTTTGAACAAAGCTACACATTCCGCACGTTGCGTTCGGAAGAGAGATGCCTTACGTGCGCAAATCGTGGACTATAACTTGATCGTCGTTCCCCGCGGAGAATATCTTAGTCTTGCTGCTGTCGTAACCAAGGCAAAATATATTGCTAACGTGTTGCGATTTCATCACGGTGGGCTTGCCCATACCCTGTATCGCCTGCTCCACTCGCCATAATAGAACTCTTCTGTCGTCGCCCCCTGCGAAAATAGGACGTTACATGCCATTCACACGTGACTCATCTATTATTAGAATATATTTTCCAAATCTTTCTGGCGCGCTGCTATTTCGTGGCGTGAAAACCATGCACGCCTTCGCTTTCAAGCCGAAAGAAAGGAGCACGAGCTTTTTTCAACGCGAGAATCAATATTCCCGACATCAACGTCATAAGAAACCATGTCATAAGAAATGGAAAAGGCGGACATAATTAATGTCGCAGGATTGATCGAAAAATCGAAGCTGATCCAATTAAGATCGGACCAACGGTCGAGGCGCTTGTAAATTCTGACATAACGCAAATTTAAAAAAAATAATAATAATAGCAGCGGTTTTCTAATGCTATTATTAGAAAATTATCAGCATCATTTCGAGTCAATCACGTTGACGTAATCGTCGATCGAAGAGAACGAAAGCACAATTTTCTCTCCTCCTCTCGAGACTCGGGAGAGGCGGCGTGGAAGAGGAAATTTGTGAGCCGTGTCGTCGGGGGACTAACCGGACACAAGCAGATCGCCCTGGTTGGAGAACTCGATCGCGTTGACGCATCCGTAATGGGACAGCAGGTCTTTCCTGTAGAGGTTCTCGGAGTTGTCGAATCTGGCGTTGATCAGGCCCCGGCAGTAGTCGGCCCTGTCGTCGATCTGTCGCGCGAGCACGTAGGAGAGCGCGCTGCACTCGGACGGAGCGGGCGTCCCGGCGCCGTCGGCACCCTCGCACGGCTGCCACGGCAGCCGTCGGCGCCGTCGCCGGAGGCTGCCGGCGCGGAACCGGACGCGGCCGTCCGCCTCCTCGTAGATGGCCAGCGGCCGAGTCTCCTTCTGGAACGCGTCGCCGCGCGACGACGACGCCGCCGTCGTCGTCATCGGCATCCCCGTCGTCGTCGTCGTCGTCGCTCCGACCTCCTCGCCGCGCGTCTTACTAGCCTCCCCGTGCCCGGCGCGGCGTGGGTGGACGAGAGCGAGCG